CAAAACCAACACACCTTATCTGATCCTGGAAGGGAAAACCTGAATCAAATGGTTATCCCTAAATCACTGATCTATCACAAGAACAAAAAAACTGGTTTCCTTGGCTGGCTGATCCCTCGGGCACAGGGCAGTAGAATGTCATCATCCTCTCTGGACACAATGCCCCTCTTCCGTCGTGCCTCCCTCTCCCTGATTTGCTAAGGAGCCGAAGAGGGAGGGAGTTTTGAAACTTTCAAACCTGTATTTTGCTATAAATATGCTTCTGATCAATGTATTGGTATGCTTGCATGTGAATGAACACTGCAATTGCATCCGCTTCAGCTGAATCGCTAATAAACCTCGGTGCCACGTCTTCACCTTGGCAAGAGTCTCATTTCAATTATTAATATCAATAAAATTGCTGGAATCAGGCTTCCCTGAAGGCTTGCCAAGGTAGCGTTCCCTCTTTGGTGGGAACTAAGGGTCATCTCTCCTTGGAATTGACCTCCCTAAAGTCTAGTTCGACTTCACTAGGCTGTCAGCGTTTAGCCTAAGTAGCCTGCAAACTGACTTTAGCCCTTGTAACTTTATGTGTGATAAAGTAACTCATAAAAGAAAAACACACGAGTCTTCAGCTTTAAGTAGAAAAGAAATAAAGTTGTATTCACTGCATACAAAACAAAACAGAAGAATTGCTCTCACCAAAAACATAACATAAAACAATATCCTCCGTGAGTCCTCTTCATTGCATGTTGATAAGCAGACGTGTAACAAAAACAATATACAGTCCCTCTTACTCAGTTGTCTGTAGAGTGACCTTGACTTGCTGCCTTTGCTCTGGACACTTGCAGTAACTTCTCCCGGCATCAAACAAACAAAGGTTTTTCAGCTCAAACCGAGCCCCAAGCAAAGCATACAAACGCAGTGCTCTAACACTGAGAACACAACACTCCAACATGGAGAATACAAAACTCCAACACGGAGAATGCAATACTCAAAGTACAAACGCACAGTGAATTACTATATACATGAGATAACATACACTCAATTATCCCATCAATTAACTGTGTCAGGTGCAACCAAAACAGCTCTGATCCTTTCCAAAACTTTGGAAAAGTACGTTGCAAACTTTTAGTAGCAACATAGGCTGCCATCATGGTGATCTCCAGCTGTGACACAGCATTTACCTTTTCCTCATCACTTGTCTTGACATCAGATGTGGCAGCAGAATACCTCCCTACAACAGGACCCCCTAGACCAGTGGTTCTCAACCTTTCTAATGCCATGACCCCTAAATAAAGTTCCTCATGTTGTGGTGACTCCCAACCATATTTTCATTGCTACTTCATAAATAATTTTGCTACTCTTATGAATTCTAATGTAAATATCTAATATGTGGGATGTATTTTCATTGTTACAAATTGAACCTAATTAAAGCATAGTGATTAATCACAAAAACAATATGTTTGGGTGAGTATGGACAATGAATGATGGGATTTGTAGTACCTTCAACCAATTGATCTCTGACTTCCACAGACCACTGAGACCTCCACCAATTATAGACCTGGACCAAACTTGGCACAGAGAACTCCCATGACAAACAAAAAATACTGGATGAGGTTGGGAGGAATTGACAGTGATTTATGGGAGATGTAGTTTACCTACATCCGAAAAGCGCTGTGAACCCAAATGACTATGGATCTGGACCAAACTTGGCATGAATACTCAAAATGCCCAAATTTGAACATTGGTGGAGTTTGGGGGAAATGGATCTTGACATTTCCCACTTGTTGGGATTTATAGTTCCTCTGCCATCAAAGAGCATTCTGAACAACAAAATGGAATTGAACAAGCTTGGCATTCAGAACTCCCATAAACAGCAATAATTACTGGAAAGTTATGGGGTTATTTTTCTGACATTTGGGAGTTGGGATGTATAGTTCCCTCCCATCCAAAAGCATTCTGAGCTCATGCAACCATGAAATGGACTCAAACTTGGCACAGAGAACTCCCATGATCAACAGAAAATGCTGGAGAGGCTTGGGGAAAATAGACCTTGGCATTTGGGAGCTGTTAGAATATATAGCTCCCTCCCATCCAAAAGTATTCTGAACTCATGCAGCCATGGAATGGACTCAAACTTGGTATACAGAACTCCCTCCATTTGACCCCACCTACTTCTGAGCTCGGAAGGAGGCAAAGGCCGGATGGTGAAGGCTCCACAGATGGCCAGGCATTGAGAAGGGCAAGAAGAAGTTTACTCACCTTGCAGGCCAGAACAGAGGGTGAGTCTTCTTCCTCCATGTGTGTTTGTACTTCCCCCTTGACTACCCACAGGTCTGTGGGAAGAGCAGGAGGAGGAGCCTGCCAGGAGTGCCGTGTGGCTGGCTCAGAGGGTCGGCAGCCATTTTGGAGGAGGTGGGGCTAGCCAAGGCAGCTTCTTGACCCCCCGAAAATGGCCGAACAACCCCAGGGGTCATGACCCCCAGGTTGAGAACCGCTGCCCTAGACCATCCCAGAGGCTGCATAAGGCTGCATAGGTAAGTGATGGTAAAACACTCTCCCACTACTCAAATCTTGCCCCTCTCTAATTGACCTTAGCAGTGCCTGGAGGACACCAAAATCATACAATAAGAGAGTTGGAAGAGACCACATGGGCCATCTATTCCAAGCCCCTGCCATGCAGGAAAAGCACAATGAAAATGCTCTTGATAGATAGCCATCCAGCTTCTGTTTACAAGCTTCTGGGGAAGGAGCTTCCACCACGCTCTGAAGCAAGAGTTCCGCTGTTGATAACTCTCCGAGTCAGGAAGTTACGTCTAATGTTCAGGTGGAATCTCCTTTTGAACTCATTGCTCTGAACCCATTCCCCTATTACTTTATCTACTCCATATTCCTCGGGTTGAAAAGTGATTTCTTTTTGTGAAAGACTTGAGGCAAAAAAAGGTGTTGAGTAGTTCTGCCTTTTCCTTATCCTCTGTCAGCATTCCACCATCTTCTCCATGCAGAGGTCCTACAACTTCCCAACTTCCTTTTTTATTTTTACAGACATAACCAAACAACCCCCTTTTAGTGTTTTTAATCTCTCTGGCATGCCTCAGATCATTTTGTGCCTTATGAACCTTTCCACTACATATGTTGGTTGTTTGAATTCCTCTTTGGTGGTTGAATTGTGAAATTGCATAACAAGAAACAACAAGAGTGCTCAACATTCATCAAAAATTATACTGTCCTGGCCGAGGACAGGACCGGGAGATGTCAAAACTATATATTATATATTACGTTATATTTTTCTTTGCTGCCACCAATTTACTATTAAAGTTTCTTTTGCTGCCACCATTTATTAATCCATAAGCCACTTCCTTGCTAGGATGTTCAAGAAGACACATCAACTCTTCAGGAGATTTTTTAAAAAAGAATATGCTGTTTATTTTGTTCTTGAACATTAAAGATGCGTTGTAGTTTCAATAAACTGTCAGGTTTTACTTTTATAGAGAATGGTTTTATAACATAAGTTTCTTGAAAATATGTTCCTTACACAAGAATACAAACAGGTTGTTTAAAGCTTTTGAATCCTCTTTCGCTGAAGTTTTAACACCAGCACTCTAAACTATAGAGGCTCACTATATTTTTTAACCCTTCTTCCCTGAAGGCTTTTAACTATTTTCCCCAAAGAGCTATCTTTCTTTCTAATAACAGTTCCTAAAACACTTCCTTCCTTCCACTTCAAATCTTGCAAAACTAACTCCCTCTTCAAATTCCAGACACTATCTGACTAAACTCTAACTGCATAGCCCTTACTTTTCCTCTAGCTCTACCAATTTCTGGACGCTAAGCAACTCACTCAAACTTCATCAGCCAATCAGACTGCCCTTCCAGCTATGAATCTGCCTGATCACTCCTGCCCCCTGCTCTCCTTAGCTTTTCCAAGCCAGGCCCGTTATTGCCTGTACACCAACCTTGTAAGGTAGGCTAATCTGTTACATATATCAACTCCAATGCATATCCTATCTGTTCCATTCTGCATCAATCTCCTTCTGCAATCACTTTGTTGGCTTTGGTTAACAGTAATACAATAACAGCCCTTTATTGGATGCAGACACGATAGACCAGGAATGGGCAAACTTCAGCTCTTCAGGTGTTTTGGACTTCAACTTCCACAAATCCTAACAGCTGGTAAGATGGCTGGGATTTCTGGGAATTGAAGTCCAAAACACCTGAAGGTCCAGAGCTTGTCCATGCCTCCAATAGACCTTATTTCTTCAAATTCCTACAGACATAAGTCCACTTACAAAGATGCAACTCCCCAAAAGGATTCCAGCCTTTGTTTTCTCCATCAACTAAGAGAAAACTTCAGAAAGCATTGAGAATGGAGTGGTCACATATTTACTTTCCTAATGTAAATTGCGAGGATTTACTTCTGCAGAATTTACTCCATTTTGCCATGACCAAATCCAACACTCAAAACATTATTGCAATTGTTTTCAAAATACTCCTTACCCCAAGAAAAATGCTTCCTCCAAATTTTAATGTAAATCTAAGAGCATCAATCAGTTTCTTGAAAGTTTCATCTTCAAGGGGGAAACGGTGTCCAAAAGACAAGGCACATATCAGGTTGGAGACTGAATTCGTGAGAGGTAATGCAGGATCAAATGGCTGCCCTGCAAATCAAGTTCAGTTAATATCAGTCAACCATCTAATAGTCTCAATTAGATTTTTCTTTGGAGAAAGAACTATTGGAATTTATGTCCACTTATGTTTATATTAGCAATCAACAAAAATATGACAAATTCAAAATCAAAGACCAGACTACAGACTACACAAAAACTTCAGTAGGTTGCCACATAATTGCATCATATCCTAATATGACATACCTTTTTCACGTGCAAAAACCTCTACAAGCTGTTGAGATTCCTCTTCTATTTGGCCCTCCAGGCTTCTTTTCCCCACTCCCAGTTTCCGCAGTGTGACTACGCCAAACCGCCTCTGCTGCTTCCAGGTATGTCCATTTGAAAGTGCAACGCCTGGGGGTTGAATGAATCAATATACAATTATTATTTACAAAATTCAGGTGAAATATACCAAGGTTACTACCCTAAATACAAGTTGAGCCTTCATTATTCAGATATTCAAAATCTCAAATCCTTCAAAACCAGATTTTCTTTTGCCACCAGCCTCTGAGGAGTCTATCAAGCATGAGCACCACAACCACCACCTTGGAAACTGAAGCAGGCAGCTGAGTGCAAAAGGTTTTGGTTTCCCACCATGTTACAGATCCTCATTCTCCCTCCAGCCTTGCATTCCATACGCAACGTAAGTAACCAAAATATTAGACACAAGGCTATTTCAAAAATATAATCTATGGCACTTCTGAGTTAAACTGGCACCAGACAGCCACATCCCTAAGCAACTCCACTGAGGACCCTTCCAGACAGCCTCTTAATCTGGAAAAAGGGAGTGGGATTAAAAAATACAGAACCTGAAGGAAACTCCAAACACTGAACTATTAGTCCCGATAAATGGTTCCCTGGCATCCTAAAAAGCTTAGTTATAGCAGATTTTGCAAAATAAACACAGGACATTGACCCTCAGAGATGCACTGCACATCATAAACATGGGGATAGAAACATGGGGATAGAAGAAAATACACATCATCTACCCTCTTGAACCTCATTTCCCTTTGGGCTTACTTGCCTGCCATGCTGGTGCCCATTGCGAAATTTCAAACATGTCTATTACACAATAGACATGCGCAAAATGCCAAAAATCTGTTTTGCCTCGAAATATGAATTTACTGTGCCCCCTGTTTCGTTTTGTAAGCAGGCATGTAGCCGGGGGGGGGGGCTCGGGGGGCTTCAGCCCCCCCCCCCGAAATTCTCATGGTGGTTTGCGAGAAGGCCTTAATGGTGCATTATTTAAACTGTTATGTTTATTCATATCATGATCTGATCACCATACTCAATATATCCCATATGCATGGGGGTATTGGGGTAATGATACAAAAGGTTTGCTAGGCTAGACCCTCTTTCACTCAGACTCAGCCCCCCCGAAACTCAGCCCCCCCCCCGAAACCCCCCCTGAAAAAATTCATCCCCCCCCCTCGAAACGAAATCCTGGCTACGGGCCTGTTTGTAAGTATTTCTAAACTATCTTGAGGGGTCCATTTTGTTTCGAATTTGAAACACCAAAATTTCATTAATATTTTGTTTTGTTGATCTGGTGATTTGCACCAATGGAAACACTTATAAGGCTCATTTCTCTGTTATTTTTGACTACCAGGATGAAACGTGCCACACTTGTAGGACACATTTTTCACAGTAAGCCCCTTCTCCCCAGTTTCTGAAAGTTTCATTCATACACTGATTTGGGGGATTTTTAAAAAAACTAGAAGACCTATTCCCTTGAATTTTTTTTACAGTAGTACAACATAACCAGGGCATAATTCGTCCAAAGTTTTAGAAAGATTTGCACATCCGCTGATTTTTAGGATTTTATTTTCAATTTCAGCACTTTGGCTGAGTCACTCTCTATGAATCTTTAGTAAATGACCCCACCCCCAATGAATCCTAGTAAATGGGAAAACCCCACATATGCAAAAAAAAAAAAAAAAGACCCTAAAGGGCTCCTAAACTCTGCATCCAATGCCAGATTGCTGGCTGGCTGGCTGCTATGACTGCTGGCTAGCAGCTAGGTGAACAAAATGATCCTAAAGGCATCCTAAGCTGTGGCGAGTTAGCTGCTGCTGGCTGGCTGTGGCTGCTAGACTGCTAGGCTAAAAAGCTGGTGGCTGCATGCAAAAGCATTAAAGAACAGACCAAAAATGAATTTCTAATACCCAAATCAACTCCCTCTCAGAATGACTACAGAGGAGTCAACATGACTGCTGACTGGTTGTCTTCTGCTGCAATTTAGGAGAAATGCCAGCAGCTGGGGCTCTCCCTCCTGTCTTCCTGTCTCCCTGTGCATGTGATGGAGAAAGTTTGGCTGCACCTTCCAGGAGAGTTTGCTTGTACTCAAAAACAAGCTGAATCATAGAGACATACAAAAACAAACTTCTTACAAAATGTTCAGCAATTGATATTTTGATTTGTCTGTGTTCAGCCGGCGGGGGGGGGGGGCAGTTGGGGACAGCTGTGTGTTCGTAAGTCATATCAGAAGCATTGCCAGCTGGGAGGCACCTGCCCCCATGGCTGGCTGGTGGCAAAATCAAAGGGAGGGGTTCTTTGCCAGGCCTTGACAAAAATAGTTGGGCCCCAGTACACCCAGCCATGAAGGACAGACTTGGTGGAGGTTTCCGTAAATCAGTACCTGGATGAGTCAGTACAGTAGAGGGTCTGTCCTGTGACCACTTGACCTACTGGGCATCCCAGAGGCCAGATCTGGCAATGGTTGCCTGGTAATACTGATCATCACAGCAAATGAGAGAGAGTGTTCAGAATGACTGGAAATGTTGTCACTCCTCACGGACCACACTAGACCCTGCCTATGTGGAACAGCTAGTGTTCCTCAAGGCCAGCCTCCCCCTCCTGGGCTTCCCAGAGCTGGACCCCCAGCTGAAGTGAATGCGACAGGCACTCATTTCATTTCATTTCAATGGCAGAAGGCTCTGTCAGAAACACTTTATCAAGACACTCAGCCAGGCACTCACTAGATCGCTACACTGATGCCAGAGAATCAGTGGTTTTGGACCATTTCTGATAAATCTACCTCATTCACTGTGGTCACTTGGATTTGCACAATGCTCTATCAGACAAACTTTATCAAGTCACCTAGCCAGGCACTCTCTAGCTGCTTTGTTTCTGCCGATGTCTTCTCCCATTCCACCAGTGTTCTGCACTTATCATAGAATCATGTTGTTCATTCGTTCAGTCGTCTCCGACTCTTCGTGACCTCATGGACCAGCCCACGCCAGAGCTCCCTGTCGGCCGTCACCACCCCCAGCTCCTTCAAGGTCAGTCCAGTCACTTCAAGGATGCCATCCATCCATCTTGCCCTTGGTTGGCCCCTCTTCCTTTTACCTTCCACCTTCCCCAGCATAATTGTCTTCTCCAGGCTTTGCTGTCTCCTCATGATGTGGCCAAAGTACTTCAACTTTGTCTCTAGTATCCTTCCCTCCAATGAGCAGTCGGGCTTTATTTCCTGGAGGATGGACTGGTTGGATCTTCTGTCTTCTCCCATTCCACCAGTGTTCTGCACTTATCATAAAATCATAGAATCATAGAATCAAAGAGTTGGAAGAGACCTCATGGGCCATCCAGTCCAACCCCCTGCCAAGAAGCAGGAATATTGCATTCAAATCACCCCTGACAGATGGCCATCCAGCCTCTGATTAAAAGCTTCCAAACTTCATCCACTTCCCCGGCCCTATGACACATTGTTTGCACTATCACTCACCCAGCCCTTTTATAGTTGACTAGGTCCATTTTAGTACTCATGGCCCTTGGTATTGCTGAACCTTGCCGGATGGAGCTCTGATTTTTATTATATTTTATTTTTAGTATGTTCTATAAGTGTTTTTGTAATTTATGATGTCTTTATTTTATTTTTATTTTTAATTTATTTTTTTATTTTTTGCTATTTTGTTTATTAAGTTACTGTTGGGTTGTTTATATTGTCTAATATGCCTTGTCCTGACATAAACTGTTTGCACAGTTTTCTTTTGACATTGAATGTTTGCCATATTTGTTGGAAACCGCCCTGAGTCCCTTTAGATGATGATGATGTGACATCACAAATCTTATGCAGTGCAGCCAGGTACTTTTCAGGATTGATGCCCTGCAACATTCTGAAACTTTGCAGAATTGATGCCCTGTTTATGTTGTCCCGTTGTACAGAATTTCAAGGAGATAAATCTTTAAGGTTTTAAAAAATGACTGAAACATTCTGGAACTTGGCAGGCTTAAAGTAGAAAATGGTGTATACAAGTATGTCAATCATGATAGCCATATAAATAATAATAATAACAATAATAACAATAATAACAATAACAACAATAATAACACTTCATTTGTACCCCGCTACCATCTCCCCAAGGGACTCGGTACAGCTTACATGAGGCCGAGCCCACAATACAACAATAAAAACGAAAGCAACAGTAATACAACAATGAATAAAGCTCATAAACAGAAAATAGCAATAAACATTAACAATAAAACACAACGTTTAAAAACCTATGACAGAGAAGCTAACTTCACAATTTCCCTCATGGCTGCTAATGGAATAAGTTTTAACAAAACAATTATAAAGCTTCAGGGATTCGGATTACAAATGAAAATGGGACACCACCCCCCTTCCAAATTACGAATCAAAGCAGGGGCCATCCGAATTTCCGAAATGAATTACTAATTGGATTTCAGCCATTTCAAACACCTCTACTTGATTATATGGCAGTGTAGACTCATATAATCCAGTATAAAGCAGATAATTTGGATCGTCTGATTTGATAATCTGGATTATATGGTAATGTAGATCCAACATGAGTGTAATTTCCAAATGATAATAATTATCCCCAAAGGATCATTTGTCCTCATATTGTTTCTCTGGAGAAAGATCTGGTACAACTCTTCATAACTTACCCTTTCCTCTTGCTATAAGTGTAGTAAATCCAGTTTGAGGCCGGTCTGAAAAGTCTTCCAAATGATCGATCAGTCCTTCTTTCACAGCTTCAAATCCAGACAAAACTACAACTGGTATATTTCCTCCCCACACAGTAAAAATGTCTCCATATTGTTCTGCCAACTGCCATTTGGATCAAAGCAAGAAGAAGAAGAACAGTTATAACCAAATGAAAAAATATTTCAGGCCAATATAGGAATAGTAACCATATTCATATCCTCACTTCTGATGTTTCTGCCCTACTCCCTATTTCATTTTAGATTTTAGTGGAGAACTGCCCTTCTCCTATTCTCTCAAATCACTTTGAATGCAATTTTCCTGCTTCTTGGTGGTGGTGGTGGGGGGGGGGGGGGGGGGGGGGGGGGGGGGGGGGTGGACTGGATTGCCCACGAAGTCTTTTTCAACTTTATGATTCTATCCTGTCTCATGGAACCATCTCTCTCAAATACTTTATATCATAAATGTAGCACCATCAGTTGGGGTTGATCACATAATGTAACCGGTGTTTTGGGAGACTTTTTGAAAAGTGCTCATTTTTATCAATGCTAAATATAAATTAATAACCCCTTTTCTCATGTCTGTTGTTCTGTTCAATTGCGTTTTCCTGCCAGTCACCATTGAGTCAGTAAATGTGCTTTGGGTCCAAAGTTAATCACCCCCAAACCCTGCCAGTATTCAAATTTGACCATGTTGGGTTTGTGTACGATATTTAGTCCAGATCGGTCATCAGCTGGGTGCAGTGCTCTCTGGATGTGAGTGAACTCTACAACTCCCGCATTCCAAGGCCAACCCTCTCCCCAAAACTTGGCCATTCAAAGTTGGCCATGCTGGGTCTGTACACCAAGTTTGATCCAAATTCATCATTGTTTGTGTTCACTGTGCTTTCTGGATAAAGGTGGACTACAGCTTCCAAAATCTAAGCTCAATCACCCCCAAACCCCACCTGTATTCAAAGTTGTCAATGTCGGGTCTGTCTGGCAGATCAGTCCTTGACTAGGTCCAGGGCTCTCTGGATGTGAGTGCACTACAACTCCCAGAATCCAAGGTCAATCACCTCTAAAACCTGCCAGTATTCAAAGTTGCCCATGCTGGGTCTGTGTGCCAAGTTTGGTTCAGATCCACCATTATTTGTGTTCACAGCACTCTCTGGAAGCACATGAACAACAACTTATTGAGTCTAAGGTCAGTCACTCCAAACCATGCCAGTATTCAAAGTTGCCCACATTGGGTCTGGGTGCCAAGTTTGGTTCAGATCCATCATCAGGGTTCAATGTTCCCTGGACACGGGTGAACAACTTCCCCATTCCAAGGTAAATCACCTCCAGACCCCACCATTATTCAAAGTTGGCTACATTGGGCCTATATGCCAAGTTTGATCCAGATCTGTCATCAGCTGGGTCCAGTGCTCCCTGGATGCAGATGAACTACAACTCCTAGAATCCAAGGTCAATCACCCACCCACCCCCAAACCCTGTTAATATTCAAAATTGGCCATGTTGGGTCTGTGTGTCAAGTTTGCTCCTAATCCATCTTTGGCTAGGTTCATTGATGTGGGTGAACAACAACTCTGAGATTCCAAGGTCAATCACTCCTAAACCCTGCCAGTAATCAAAGTTGACTATGTTGGGTCTGTGTGCCAAGTTTGGTTCATATCTGTCATTGGTGGGAATCACAGGGCTCTCTGGATGTAGGGAGCACTACTACTTCCAGATTCCAAGATCAAACCCCCCAACTTCTATCAGTATTCAAAATTTATCATATTGGGTATTTGTGCCAGGTTTGGTCAAAAAACTATCATCAGTTGGATGCAGAGTGTTTTGTGGATGTGGGTGAACTCTACCAACCTCTAAGATCAGTCCCTTTGAAACCCTACCAGTATTCAAAGTTTGGCATGTTGGGTATATGTGCAAAATTTGGTGCAGTTCCATTGTCAGTTGGGTTCAGCGTGTTCTTTTGAGTATAGGTAAATTACATTTTCCAGAATTCAAGGTCACACACACCCTCCCCTCAAACTCCATCAGTATTGAAAGTTGGTCATGTAGGGTGTATGTGCAAAGTTTGGTCCAGATCCATCATTGGCTGGGTTCAGAATGGTCTCTGGATGTTGGTGAACTATAACTCTCAGAATGTAGGGTCCATCTGCACCAAACCCCTTCGGTATGTTTTGTTGGTCATGAGGCATCTGTGTGCCAAGTTTTATCCAGATTCATTGTTGGCAGGAGTTACAATGCTCTGAAAATTGGGGCCATCTTGGAAAATACATACATACAAACACAGACTTTCATTAGACAGACAGACAGATAGAGATAGTTGTCAAAATATGTTTGTCTATGTCAGGGGTCCTCCAACTTTTTAAACAGGGGGCAGGTTCACTGTCCCTCAGACCATTGGAGGGACAGTGAAATTCCTGTGCACACTGCACATACATTATTTTGAAGTAAAACACCAAAACAAATAACAAATTATGACCAACTTTAAATATTTTAGTTACCAAATACCTAACCCGGCATTGCGAGGTGACTAAGCTAGTGCTAAAATAAAGGTGATTCTCAATTCCTGCACCCCATGCTTTCCATTTAATGCTGAAACAGACTGCTACAACCATCTCTTTGATATCTATTCAGTATTTTTCTAAGTGTGACCAGTGTGCTTTTCCACTACATGCAAAAGGCTTTGCAGAGATTTACATCCCAACACTCTTAAATTCCATGGGATTTCTTGCCATCCACCTTCCCCTTCTGTTATATTTAATATCCTACACGTCATCTATATCATTGCATTTATCAGATGTAGTTTCCATGAAGCTATTCTATTGATGGAACTGATTCTATGAAGGAGGAAGTTTTTTCACCCTGATTCCCTTACGACATCAAAATTGCTCTGAGGCCTTGAAGGAAGATATGTGGGAAACACTCAAAACTGCATGCACAGAGGTATTCTGTTCATTGCCTATTCATGCACTGTTGTTCCCCACTGGGGGAATCTTTGGAATAAAAAGCAGAGCTGGGAAAAGTTACATTTTGGACTGTAGTGATAACACACAATGTCTAGACTGCCTAGAAGAGTCTGCGAGTTATATCTCGAGTAAGCAAAATCTCCAAACTCTGGCAAAACTTTAGTGAAATTACTACAACAACCAAATATATTAAAAATAAGTAACTCACAAATCTTTTCCATAGAAAAAATGCACAACGATTTTCACTAATTTTGAGTCAGATTCATAAGTTATTACTTAATTATTTAGGGAAAAAAGTACCTTCATTGGTGTCTCCACAGTACATCCAATTCCAAAGTTAATTCTCCATACACCTCCGATAAGAGGAAGGGAAAGAGGCCCCGGGGGAAAATGTCGGCGTGACCACTGCTGTTTCAGATAGTTGAGAAGCAGAAGAATCGCAAGCAGAACAGTAAAAAGTATTCCAGTCCCTTCCATTCTCCTGTAGCCTTTCTCTTTGGTTATTTCCAACTAGCTATGGAAAAGGATGCAAGATTATGATTCAATGTTCTTTCCTCTCTTTCCTGATAACATCCTCATATATATATTCCTGCAATCTAAATCTGCAATCAATATATCTTGCACATGTATAATTAGGCTAAGGATCTTATCACATGAAGGAATGACATAGGTCCTACTTGAATGTTCATCCTCTTATAAGTTGACCTCCTCCCTGAGTGTGTTAATAGTTCCTCTGACTGTGCATATGTGCCTTTAAATTGTGTGTTGACTTGTGGCAATTTCATGAATTTAATTGTGCTTTCTTAGATTATTTTTTTTTTGTCGTGTCAGGAGAGACTGCAAGTCGCTCCTGGTATGAAAGAATTGGCCGTCTGCAAGGACGTTGCCCAGGAGACGCCTGGATGATTTGATGTTTTTATCATCCTTGTGGGAGGCTTCTCTCATGTCCCCGCATGAAGAGCTGGAGCTGATAGAGGGAGCTCATCTGCCTCTCCCCGAATTCGAACCTGCGACCTATCCTGCCGGCACAGGAGTTTAACCCACTGCGCCACTGGGAGCTCCTTGCTTTCTTAGATAAGGAATACTAAAGCTGGTTTTCCCAGTTCCTTCTTCTGGTATTCATTAGCAGTCTCCCCCTTCCAAGAACTAACCAGGGTTGACCCTGCTGAGTTTTGGAGATCAGACAGGGTCCGGTGCCTTTAGGATGTTTAGGCCCTTCACAGTTCCTATATGGTTCTTAAACTTGAGGCTACATAGGTAACATGAAGGTCAAAAGTGCACAACTCTATGTTACATAGTTGTTACTGCCATAAAGTCACTTCTGGTCAACTTTATGGCAGTTACAACTATGTAACATAGAGTTGTGCACTTGTGACTATCATGTTACCCATGTAGCCTCTAGTTTAGGGACCATATGGGATCTGTGGAGGTACTTACTTTGCTTACTTACTTAGGCGATCCCTGGTAGTCCGAGGATGATAGTCCTCCAAGTGTGGTATCCAGGCGGTGGGTCCGTAGGTGACTGTGGAGCCCTATTCTTGAGCTGCAGCTTCTCCCACAGTGAGGGCATCGGTTTCCAGGTGGAAGACAGTCCCAGTCAGTGCCTTCCTCTTGCACGTTTCTCTCTTTTGCCCTCCATTTGTGCCTCTTCAAATTCTGCAGCACTGCTGGTCACAGCTGACCTCCAGCTGGAGCGCTGAAGGGCCAGGGCTTCCCAGTTCTCAGTGTCTATGCCAGAGTTTTTAAGGTTGGCTTTGAGCCCGTCTTTAAATCTCTTTTCCTGTCCTCCAACATTCCGTTTTCCATTCTTGAGTTCAGAATCTGTGAAGGTACACAACACACAAGTGTGGAGAGCACCACCTACTAGAATGCAGTCTGAGCCCTGCAACATGCACAGTGGAGGTCCTTGTTATAGCAACACAAAGGCACTCCAAGTGGCTTGCTACTGGTCAAAGGACATTTAGTATAATGCCAAGTTTTAAAAACTTTGTGTTTTTTAAATACATTACAACTATACCTTTGGCTCGCTTCTGATATGATAAATAAATTTTAAAAACTGCCAAGAAAGAATGCCAGCCTAAGACTTTCTCAGAAATAAACAACATGTTGAAAGGGAAATCAAGAAGGTCATCTGTCTTCAAAATACTTGGGACAAGCAAGTTAACAGAAGTTCAGGTAACAGCAAATGTCACAAGTTAGGAAAGACAGCAAAAAAAACCCAAACAACTATCAAGATTAGACCTCTCAACCTCTGAGGATGCTTGACATAGATGTGGGCAAAACATCAGGAGAGAATCCTTCTGGAACATGGCCAGACAGCCCAGAAAACTCACAGCAAGCCAACTATCAAGTTAATCAGCATGGTTAAACAACAGTGTCAAAAAAGCAAGAAACGAAAGACTTGTGCAGAACATGAGAATGCAAGGAAGGAAATGCACTAATGCAAAAGAACTACCAGGAGCCATATCCTTGATAGTAGTGGTTCTCAAAAAACAATTAAGACACATCCATTAAAATCGAAATTCAAAAACCAGTCCAGGTCAATTCATTGCCATGAGGATCTTCTTCCACTTGCTGCTCACTGATCCCATAACCAGATCTTGATTTTCCTTCTAAAAGACAAGAGGGAGGTGATCAATCTGATATTTCTAGGGAAGGTATTCCACAGATGGGGGACCACTGCTGAGAAGGCCCTGTCTCCCGTCCCCATCAATCGTGTTGGTGATATTAGTGGGATCGAGAGCAGGGCCTTTCCGGAAGATCTTAAACTTCGTGATGACTGATGACTTGTGGCAGGAGATATGTTCGGACAGGTACTTAATATCCACTGGAGTTCAATTCAGGGAACTAATGCGGATACCAAAATCCATGGATGCTGAAATTCCAATATGTACAAAGCCTCATTCAAAGGAGGTCTTGCATTATATACATAATAAAATAGCAAAATCAAGCTTTACTTACATAGGCGATCCCTTGTAGCCTGAGGATGATGGTCCTCCAAGTTTAGTGTCTTGGCGGTGAGTCTGTAGGTGGCTATGGAGCCCTCTTCTTGATCCGCATGTTCTTTTGGAGTGAGGGTGTCAGTTTCCAGGTGGTAGGCGGTCTCCGTCAGGTTTAGCTTGATATGCTTTCATCTTGGCACACCTGTCTTCCCAAGAGATATGCAGGATTTTTTGGAATTTTTTATTTACATACATTAACAGCTTCCAATGTGAACAAAAACATGAAACAATAACAATTTTACAAACCATTTTACAAACACATAACTCCACCACCAAGGCCTGAACATGTATCCTTTCCTTTGCCATAAATGAGTCAACCATTAGCCAAATGTCAAATCCAAAATTCCTGACCAACCAACAAGGTTGTGTTGTTTTCCTTTTTCACTCTCTAAAACGTGTCCATTTGTCAGTGACATTAATTCACTCTCATTATTGCACTACTTCAATTATTGCTCAAATGCTTGGTCCCACACCTACGTCTTTTAAGTTTTTTCCTGAAGGTCTGAAGAGGTGGGGCTCACCTGATTTCACTGACGAGAGAGTTCACTAACTCTTGCAAATTAGAATGTTCACCCTTCAAGAGTCAACTTCCTCCTGCTACCTGTTCGACATGGTGAGGAAAACGCTGAGGCCCCATCTATACAGCTGTATAATGCAGTTTGAAGCTCATATAATTCAGTTTAATGAAATGTATATGTGTCTACACTGACCATATAACCAAGTTTCAAACTGTATTGTATGGCAGTGTGGATGGGGCCCAAGAAAGGGGCTATGGGATGCCAGGAAGCATCCAGCTATCTATCTATCTATCTATCTATCTATCTATCTATCTATCTAACCTATCTATCTATCTATCTATCTATCTATCTATCTATCTATCTATCTATCTAAAAGCTCTGTTCGTTTTGAATGACATCATAACTCAAAAACCGCTGGACTAATTCCCTCCAAATTTGGCCACAACTAACCCAAGGAGTGGCCATCACTCAAAAAATTGATTTTGTCATTTGGGAGTTGTAGTTGCTGGGATTTATAGTTAATCTACAATCAAAGAGTGTTCTGAACTCCTCTAACGATGGAATTGAACCAAACTTGGCACACAGGACTCCCATGACCAACAGAAAATACTGGAAAGGTTTGGTGGATATTGACCTTGAGTTTTGGAGTTGTAGTTCACCTACATCCAGAGAGCACTTCTGTGATAGATCTACCTTTTAGTCGGCTAGGCCGAAGCCTGCATAGCAGTGTCTGGCATCTTGGTTTTCAAGCAGAGCAGGAGGAGGAGTCAGGCTGACTCCTGATTGGGTGTAGCAATTGGGGGAGGAGTCAGCTTAGAGAGGGAAAGCAGCTGTCGAGTTTTGACAGAGAGGGAGAGAAGGGATTTTAACAGTGAAGAGGGTAGATGGATTTTTAGGCTGGAGAGCTGAGGAGAATTTAGACAGGAGAAAGTGAGCTTTTGGGAGTGAGTCTTTTAGTCAGAGAGAATAAGATAGGGACAAAAGGCTTGAAGTTTACTGTACAGAGTGTCAGTAAAGAAGACTTGTTCACTTGATGCTTATTGCTCTGAGGAGAGTATTAGTTGAGGACTAATTACTCTGTGAGACAGGAGAGTCTGTTCTCAGTGATTATACTGTTTCAAAAGGAAGTTGAACAGTATAGTTAAAAGAGACTCACAGAAACCCAAAGCTACATTCTTAGGGAAAACTGTCTAAACAGCTAAGCCTATGTAACTGAATTACGCTTTATGTGCCACTCATTTCCAACGAGTTGTTGTTAATATCAAGTTTAAAATAAACTCTTTATTAGTTTACTTTTAACTGGTGTATGCCTCAATCCATTCGTTGCCTCAGTACTCATTCTTTCAACACATTTTTATACTCCAGTCAGCTAGGGAGGAAGCCATAGAAGCCCAAGAGCTCAAACACCCTTTACCTAAAATACATTCACACTAGGGCTGGTTGATCAAGAAAAAATTTGGTTCTAAAATCGATTTGTAATTGGGGTGTTTTTTTGTTTCGATATTTAAAATAATTGCAAAATTTCCCCCCTACAATCCGTTAATATTTACAAAAATTT